GAAACTCCGAACGCAGATTACGTTGTCCGCGCAGCGAATCAGGGAGAGTACGCTGTACCTGAATTTCAACGGGGATTTGTTTGGACTGCCGCTCAGGTGCGGGAGTTTGCTGACTCTCTTACCCGAAGTTATCCAGTTGGCAGCATCTTAACTTGGAAATCGGACACTGCCATACAACGCGGGGAAAGCGATCAACCTCAACAGAAATCTTGGCTCATCGATGGCCAGCAGCGAATCACGGCTCTTTGCACCCTGTTTGGCAAGCGACCCGACTGGTGGGACAGCAATCGGAGTGGAAATTGGAACGATCATCTTAATTCATTCGACATACGGTTGGATGTAGGTGAAGAAGAGCTTACGTTCGCAAGTCGGAAATCTCCCGTTTCGCGATACGTGCCAGTTAGGGAAATTCTCTCGTCCGAAAACTTGTTTGCGTTGGCCAGCAATCTTGTGAAAGAAGGGCGCGCTTACACAGATGATATAGGGGCATTGGCAAATCACCTCCAGAAAATCGCGAACATTAAGGGGGTCATATTGCCTACGGTTGAGATCGACGATGCCATCGAACTCACCGAAGTGGCGGAGATATTCAAACGGCTCAATTCGACCGGTACACGAGTTCAACAGGCAGATATTTATTTGGGTGTAGTAGCGTCGCGTAATCCCGGTTGGGTCAATCAAAACTTCATCAAATTCATGGATGAAATGGACAACCAAGGATTTGAAATTGAGCCAGCATTCCTCTTCCGATCATTCACTGCTATTGGAGCAGGGAAAAGTAGATTTCGGGACATCGGCGGGGATTTTTGGGACGATCTCGACAGTAGCAAAGAATGGGATTCAACTCAAAAGGCTTTGCGATCTGTGTGTCAGGGACTTCGTCAGTATGGAATCATCAATTCAGATCTGACGTTGAGCCTAAACGCGGTAGTGGCGGCGGCGGTATACCGAGCCCAATTTCAGCAGGGATCCTTCGGCCCAATCCTTTCCTGGATGATTAACGCAGTCAAAGACGGGTTTTTCAGCGGTCCCACAGAAACTAAATTGGATCGTGTCATTACCGCGATACATAGCGCGGATTCCAATCTTGTGGCATTAAAGAGCTTGGATGGACTGCTGAACAATCCTCCAGAGTTCACTGCAGAGGAGTTTATCGAAACAGGAAGTGGTCGAAATTCGGTTCATAGGCTTATGATTTATCTGCTGGCCTTCAAGAATGATGCCGAAGATTGGAATACAGATGGTTACAAGATCCGAGCAGAATCAATGGGGCCGTATCAGCCTGAATGGCACCATATCTTTCCCCGAAAGTAGCTCAAAGACAACGCCGACGGCCTAGACCAAAAGCTCATAGACTCTGTGGCCAATATGGCAGTAATTAGCGGAGAGGCGAACCGGAAAATCGCCGCCAAGTCCCCTAAGGAATATATCTCCGAACTTAATCTTACAGGACGTGGGTTGCTGGAACAGCAAGCAATTTCGGATCCCAGTTTTGTGGGGCCAGAACAATATATTGAATGGCTAAACGCTCGCGCAAATCGATTGGCGCAGGAAGCTAACAGTTATTTGGCAGAGCTGCGAAACCAATTGTAATTGGTGAAAACACCAAGGAACATTCCATGCCACCTTTCGAGTACATAGAACCTGGATCCCTAGAAGAGGCCGTTGCCCTGCTGGCCGAACCAGGCGCGGTGCCCGTGGGCGGTGGCACTGACCTGCTGCCGCAGGTGCGGGACGGCGTCATGGATGCGGATCGGCTGGTGGGGCTGGCAGCCATCCCGGGATTGGCGTCGATCGAGGAGACGTCCGACGGAGGCCTGACCATCGGGGCAGCGGCCAACATCGCCGACATTGCTGCGCATCCGCTTGTTCGCCGCCGCTATACTGCGCTGGCCGAGGCGGCTGGCGGACTGGCGACGCCGCAGATCCGCAACGAGGGCACCATCGGTGGCAACCTGGCCCAGAGGCCGCGCTGCTGGTACTACCGCAGCCCGCTCATTCCCTGCCTCAAGAAGGGAGGCGATCGCTGCTACGCCCTCGCCGGCAACACCCGCCTGCTCTGCGTCACCGGCGGCGACCGATGCTACATCGTGCACCCCTCAGACACCGCCGTTGCCCTCTCGTCGCTGGACGCACGGCTGGAAATTGCCGGGCCAAACGGCAGGCGGGAGTTGCCGATTGGCGAGTTTTTCGCCGGACCGGGGCGCGACCTGCTCCGCGAGAACGTGCTGGAGCCCGGCGAGCTGATTACCCGCATCAGCCTGCCCGCCGACGCCCCCGAGCGCAGCGCGTACCTGAAGGTGCGCGAACGGGAGTCGGGCGACTTCGCCCTCGTCAGCGTGGCCACGGCCCTCACGCTGGACGGCGACGGCACAATCGGCAAGGCCCGCGTCGCGCTCGGTGGCGTCGCTCCCGTCCCCTATCGCGCCGTTGAGGTGGAGGCGTATCTCCTGGGTCGCCGCGCAAACGATGTGGATTCCACCGAGGCCGCCGCCCTCGCCCTGCCCAACGCCACGCCGCTGCCGCAGAACGGCTACAAGCTCCCCATGGCCATCAACATCGTCAGGCGCGCCTTGGACTCGGTGCTGGGTACTGATGTTGAACATCGGAATTAGGTAATTGAAAGCCGAGATCCCTCCAGTGCTCGGCGCGATCACTATATGCGAAGATGGCAGTATGCTAGGCTGGTTTTAGCCAATTCCGGGAACGGTTGGCAAGAGAAGCACCCCGACGTTGACCCGGAATGGGTGGCCCGGGCAATTGCGGAGCCAAACCGGCAGGAATTTGATGGCGATAACATATACTATAGTTGGGTCCCCGAGCGCCAGAAATGGCTCAAGGTAGTGGTGGAAGATAACCGTATTGCCACTGCTTTCATAGACAGGCGCTTGCTCCGGCTATTTGGAGTTCCTGAATATGGCTGATGACTCATTATTACCTGAACCGGAACTCGAAATTCGATTCTTCGACAAGAACGTGCTTTGGATTGGCGCTTCTGGAGCGTCGGTCTTCAGTGAAGGTGAGACGATGGCGCAAGGTCTCATCCTGGAGTACGACCACGACGGCATCCCCGTGGGAGTCGTTTTCACCAGGTCTGCTCTCGATAAGCTGAAGGACTTCCTCTCTCCGGATGGCACCGAGGCCACCGGACAGTCTCTGAAAGAAAAGGCAGCTTCCGACGGAAATTGATCACGAGTCCCCCGGAAGAACATTTGACTCGTTTGAACATGGAGCCTGGCTGAACTGGGCTGACACTGAAAATATCCGATCAAGGGCACCCCACGTGAACGACTACATCATCCTCGACCGCCAGCCGCCGCTGGCCACCGTCACCATCAACCGCCCGGCACAGCGCAACGCAATCAGCTTCGACATGTGGCACGAGCTGGCCGCCTTAATGCGGCAGCTGGACGCCGACAACAAAGTCCGCTGCGTGGTGATCACCGGCGCGGGTGGCGAGGCATTCTCCGCCGGCGCCGACATCGCCGATTTCCACAAGCATCGCTCCGACTCGGAAAAGGGCAGGGGCTACAACGACGCGGTAAACGGACTGCTGGGGGTCCTGACCGAGATGGGGACACCCACCATCTCCATGATCGAGGGCTTCGCCGCCGGCGGGGGCTGCGAGATGGCCGTGGCCACCGACCTGCGCATCGCCGCCGAGGGCAGCCGAATGGGCATCCCCGTCGCCCGCCTCGGCATCACCATCGGCCACCGCGAGATGCGCGGGCTGGTCGACTTGGTGGGCAAGGGCAACGCCCTCTACATCCTGCTTTCAGGCCGCCTGCTGGACGCCCACGAGGCCCTGCGCATCGGACTCGTCAACCAGGTGGTGCCGCCCGAGGACCTGCACGACGCCACCTACAGGCTGGCCAATGAGATCGCAGCCCTCGCGCCCCTGTCCCATGCCGTCAACAAGCTCACGCTGCGGCAGGTGCAGGCCAAGCCCAGGCTCGCAGACCTTAGCGACGAGGAGAACGCGCTCCCCTGACCCAGTTCGACACCGAGGACTACCAGGAGGGATACCGCTCCTTCCTCGAAAAGCGCCGCCCCAACTTCGTTGGCCGGTAGCCCGAGCGTCCCGGAATGGCAACCAGGCAAAAGACCCGCGCCGACGTACTGCTGGTGGAGCGAGGACTGGCAGAGTCCCGGGAAAGAGCGCAGGCCCTGATCATGGAGGGTGTCGTATTCACCCCCGCAGGCCGCGTCGCCAAGTCCGGCTCACTCCTCTCTAACGACGTCGAGGTGGAGGTACGGGGTCGCCTGCCCTATGTCAGCCGCGGCGGGTTTAAGCTGGCCCATGCCCTGGATGAGTTCGGCATTGATCCCACTGGAATGGTGGCGCTGGACATCGGGGCATCAACCGGTGGATTCACCGACTGCCTCCTGCAACGCGGTGCGGTCAGGGTCTACGCCATCGACGTGGGCCACGGGCAACTGGCCTACACCCTGCGTCAGGACCCGCGCGTGGTCTGCTTCGAGAAGCTCAATGCCCGCCTTCCTTTCCAACTGCCTGAGCCAGTGGACCTGCTGGTCATCGACGTCTCGTTCATCTCCCTTACGCTGGCCCTGCCCCAGCCGCTCACCCACCTACAGGCCGGCGGATATGCCGTTGCGCTCATCAAGCCGCAGTTTGAGGCGCGGCGCGGCGAGGTGGGACGGGGCGGCGTAGGTCCGCAACGACGACCTCCGCGAGGACATTCTCATGCGCGCAGAGCAGTGGCTTGGCGAGCGCGACGACGTTGAACTGCTGAACACCATCCCCTCCCCCATCACCGGCGATGCGGGCAACCACGAGTTCCTGGCGCATCTGCGGAAGCTCTAACTCCACCAGCACATTCTCTTTCTCCGGAGGAGGGGCGGGCGAGCCATTGTGGGACCGCAGTGGAAGGTGGGGTCGGAGCGAGAGGGTGCCATCAGCAACCCAGCGCCCCGATGGCGTTCATTTTTTACCCAGGCTCGTCCGGATCATTGGAATATAGAGCCAACCACACATGCCACCAACCCCGGAGCAACGGCGCCACCACCAGTCTCCCCTGCCACAGGCGGCCCTCGCTGTCCGGGACGGTCCAGGACAACCAGCCAAACTCGCCCAAGGAGCCTTCCCCGGTAATTTCCCAGCTTGGATGTTTCAGGCGGTCGCGGAAGTGGCTCACCACCTCCGCGGCTGCCATTTCCGTCTCCATTTCGGCATGAATGTTGACTTGATTGTCGTAGGACGACACGATGCCGCCGGTGCTGAAGCTGGAGGTGGAGGAATCGGTCTTGATACTGCCGTCCAGGACCCTGGCTCCCGGCACTGCCGCAAGAACATCCCCGTGCCGTTCCAGCGCCAAGCCGGGAATCTGAGGATATTCGCGCTCCCCGCCATCAGGTCCAGAGGGTTCAATAGAATGCTCTGATACGGAATATGGGCAGCTTTGTGCGGTCAGACCCGCAGGGAATCCCGCTCGCCACTGTCCCTCCTCCAGCGCCACGGGCCATGGAAAGGGTAGAGGCACCTCCAGCCCCCCGGCGCTCTGCCCGACCACGATTTCAACCGAGGCCCGGCCGGGGTCGGCGACATCCAGAAACACCGAGCGCACCTCTGCTCCCGCAAGAAAGAACTCGCCCAAATCGAGCCAGGACTGCACCTTTTCCAACTCGCAACTCCCGGCCAACTCCTGCGTCAACAAGGAATGGAAAAGCGCAGCGTCCCTCTCCTCAAGTGCGCGGTTCCATGAATCGAAAAGCTGCTGGACCGCACCCCTGATCCCATCATCACCGTCCCCGCCGCCGACAGGCGCCTCGGTAGCCAGAGGCGCGACAATCTCCGTCGCGGCAGGCTTAAGCCCCGCAGTCGGCATCCCGGCCGACACCGGCGTAGGCGTTGCCGCAGGCTCGAGCGCCACGGTGGGCACCGGCGTTGCCGTCTGCCCGCAAGCCAGCAACGTCAGCAGCACTGAAAGGAGTATCACCACCGCAGGCAGCCTTAACATCGTGCGAGGCACTTTGTGGCCAGCCGGGATCACCACCTGTATTCCGGGCTGGCATCAGCATGAATCGTACTCACTGCGAATGCAGACTCTGTCAGATCAGGAATCTCTGTTGCTCCTTGCGCAGAGCGTGGACCATACCCTCCGCCGCCAAGCGCAACGCTAACACCGCCGCAATGCAGCCGTCTATCCCACCAGGGCTATCGCGTCTTCAACGCCGGAGGCCCTATAAGTCGTCATTCCCGCGCAGGCGGGAATCCAAACCCCCGTCTACCCTCGCACCCGGAACCGAAGGAGGCACTGCCACTCCCATCTCCACCGCCATTTAGACCAATTTTGTGTGCTGAGAAATAAGACGCGATTGCCCTGTCTATCCCACTTACCGTTGTCGCGGGACACGCCGGTGCGAGTAACGGGTCTTTATGCCCGGAGAGAGGCCGATTGGATAGCGACATCACCATGCCCATGCCCATGTCGCTACGGTGATACGTCTGTTTCGCGAGGCTGAGGAGCTGCGTAGAGTCCACAGTGGGGCGACTGTAGAATTGGGTGGCTCAAAGCCGGTGCAGCCGCCATTTCCGCTTTCGCGATAATCCAAGCCCAGTCGTCAACAGATTTGACCACCTGGTTCGGAACCCTGACCTCCTGACCGGGGCAATCGCATTTGGATATTGTAATGACAGTTGCCACTTGCCAAGCCTCATGGCGCCTCCGTACTATATATTCGTATGCCTTCTGCCCACTGTTCCCATGCCATTTCTCTGCCTGCGGCATGGCCGTCAGGTCGCCCGAAAACAGGACGGAAAGGGTGGGTGGGACGGAATGGGACAGAATGGGGCGGGAATCGCGATTTTCCGGCAATTTGGGAGAAATCCAGATACGACGGACCGTAAATTTGGGACAAGTTGGGACAAAATGGGACAGGAGTGGGAAATTGCTGTCCCACAGGAGCAGCGCATTCCCTTTGGCAAGCCTTCCCTTTTCGTACATCCGCGATGGTTTCCCTGTGTAGCCACGGAATCCGACCAGCGAAATGCGATAGACCCGCCTTCCTGACACTAAACCCTTGCGAACTCGGTTGTGTTCCTATAAATCGAACAAATGCATTCAAGCGGTTCTGCCCTTGCCTTGCCGCTCCACCTCGAGTCCCATCCTGCGAGTTCAACTGGCCGCAAACGGTATTTCTCGGAAAAATCAGGAATTTTCATCGTGGCAAACCCCGCCTCGGCTCAACTCTCGCGTTGTCGTCCGCCGTTTCCAGGGCCCCTTATTGAGACTCGCCTGTAGAGAAAACTGAGCACAAATAAGCAGAATTGCACACTTGGCAGGGGTATCTGTTTCGAATTGGGCCCGAATTGAGACTCCCCCTATATCTGGCAGTCTGGCAGAGAGTGGCTCCAGCACCTGAACTGGAAGCTGTCGCGGAGCGTCTCGCCCATTCCGTCCGAAATCGGTTATCATTGCGCGGGCTGGTCCCATAGCCAGCCACGAAATCTTCTTGGAGACAATTGAAATGTACCTTCTGAGGCGAATATTCAAGTGCAAGCCCGGAGAGGCCCGGCGAGTCGCCAGCCTCGTGCAAAAGCAGGCTCAGGCCTTCGAGGAGGCGGGACAGCGCAGTGAATGCAGGGTCTATTTCAACGGCGCCACCACCCCCTCAGAACCAGACACCGTGGTTCTGGAGTGGACCGACGAGACCCTCCGGTCGACCATGCGCGCCGGCCTCCAGTTGCCGCAGGCGGTCCGGGAAATCGGCGGGCAGGTCGCCCAGCTGACCGAAGGCAACCGGATCGAGATTATGGAGCTCATGACGCCAGACAAGATGCTGGACGTATAGAACCTGCCCGTTTCATCAATGGCCGGCAAGTACGGCCCAGGTTGGCGCATCCTCCGGTAGAAATCTGATAGCGGAGAACAATCAATGTATCTGTTGCGAAGAATCTGGAAGTGCAAGCCCGGAGAGGCCCGGCGGGTCGCCAGCCTGGTGCAGAAGCAGGGCACGCTATACCACGAGGCGGGCCAACGCAGCGAGTTCCGGGTCTATTTCAACGGCTACACCACCCCCACCGACCCGGACACCGTCGTACTGGAGTGGACCGACGATGCCCTGATGTCCCCCATGCGCGCCGGACACCAGTTGCCCCAGGCCGCCCTGGCGGTCGGAGCCCAGGTCCGGGAGCTGACCGAGGGCAACCGCATCGAGATCATGGAGCTGATGACTCCCGACAAAATGCTCGACGTGTAGGCTGCCACGGACTGCTCGTAGCCGAAGTGGCGGGGCGGGCTGGCCACCCCCATGATGGCCAGCCGCTCCGGGAACGAAGCACCAATCCTGGCATTGGGCTCGTTTGTATAGGGTGGGTACCGCCCAGTTTCAATCCGGAGAGAATCGAGTGTACGTGCTTAGACGGATCTGGGAATGTAAGCCCGGCGAGGCCCGTCGGGTGGCAAGCCTGGTGGAGAAGCAGGCACAGCTCTACCACGATACGGGCCACCGAGGCGAGTTCATGGTCTATTTCAACGGATACACCACTCCCTCTCAGCCGGACACCGTGGTTCTGGAATGGACCGATGAGGCCCTGATGTCGCCATGGCGCGGCGGCATACAGCGTCCGGAGGAGGCCACTCCCATAAGAGACCAGGTCAATCGGCTGACCGAGGCCAACCGCATCGAGATCATGGAGCTGATGACACCCGACAAGATGCTCGACGTGTAGCCGGATGGCCGTGTCGCATATGGGGCCAGGATCGTACGCCCTCTGCCACTGCAGAAAGAGGCGATCGCCATGACATCAAGACCGGCAGACCAAGACCGGGCATCTGTAGGGGCATTGCTGGACGATGCCTGGGGTCAATACCATGCAGCGGTAGAGAGGCTCAACGCAAGGGACGTCCGCGACGCCTGCGGCAAGGCGTGGAACGCAACAAGGGCGGCCTCTGAAGCCGTCGTGCTGGCTCACCGGGGGAACACTGCTACCCCGATCAACATTTCCAGCGGTCTGCGGTTTCTCGCCAGGAAATACGACCTGCCCAACCTGTCCGCCGGTTATGCCCAGCGAGCCCAATTCCTCCGCAACGACGCCTGCTACTACGGCGCCTGCGACAACGAGGACATACCCGACCTGATCCATGGAACGGCCGAATACATCCGGGCCGCTCAAGAGTTGGCCCATCACCAAGAGGACTGAGCAATGCAAGTTGAAGAAATCGCGGCCAAGCTGACCGAGGCTGGCAAAACTGTCTCCGTCGCCGAGGCCTGTACCTGCGGGCTGGTGGGTTACATGCTGGGGACTGTCCCAGGCAGCTCCCGTTACTTTCCCGGGGGTGTCATAGCCTACACCGGCGGCCTGAAGGAGTCGGTGCTGAACGTACCTGACGAGGTCGCCCCCAACCACGGCACCGTCAGCCGCGAGATGGCGGTCGGCATGGCCCGCGGGGTGCGCGAACTGACCGGCACCGACTACGCCATCTCCACCACCGGCGTCACCGGACCCGCCGCCGGACGCTCCGGCCTGCCCGTCGGCACCTTCTGGGTCGGACTCTCGGTCAAGGACGGCGAGGACACCGCCATTGAGATCCACATCGACGGCGACCGAGACGCCACCAAGCACGGCGCCGCGCAGGCCGCCCTTGACCTGCTGGGCACTGTCCTGTAGCAACGGCGTCTTGCTAGCTTCATGCCATAAGTGCTGAGCTTGTAGAGGAACGGAAGAATAAAATCCGTTGATGGTTCGACAAGCTCACCACCAACGGATCCGAGGGTGCTCTGAATTGATTACCTGCTCAGCTGAGGATCTGGCTGAGGAAGGTCTGGGTCCGTTCCTGCTGCGGGTTGTTGAAGAAGTCGTGGGGCGGGGCGTCCTCGATGATCACGCCCTCGTCGAACATCAGGATGCGGTCGGCGACCTCGGTGGCGAATCCGATCTCGTGGGTCACGATGATCATGGTCATCCCCGACTCTGCCAGCTCCCGCATCACGTCCAGCACCTCGCGGATCATCTCCGGGTCCAGCGCCGACGTGGGCTCGTCGAACAGCATGATCTTGGGCTGCATCGCCAGGGCGCGGGCGATGGCAACCCGCTGCTGCTGACCGCCTGACAGTTCCCCGGGGAACTTGTCGGCCTGCTCCGGGATTCCCACCCGCTCCAGCAGTTCCATCGCCATCTCATCGGCGTCGGCGCGCTTCCGCTTGCGCACCTTGATCGGCGCGAGGGTGATGTTGTCCAACACAGACAGGTGGGGGAACAGGTTGAACTGCTGGAACACCATGCCCACGTCGCGGCGTATGGCGTCGATGTTCCGCACGTCCTGCGTCATCGGCACACCGTCAACCACGATTTCGCCGCGCTGGTGCTCCTCGAGGCGGTTGATGGTACGGATGAAGGTGGACTTTCCCGACCCGGACGGACCCACCACCACCAACTTCTCGCTGCGTCCCACCGACGTCGTGACGCCTCGCAGCACGTGGAACTGCCCGAACCATTTGTGCACGTCCCGGCAGACGATGATTGGCTCGTCGGCAGAGCCGTTGTTACTTTCCTCAATCATTTCCGTCTCCGTTCCTAGTTCCCTCATCGGCCCCACTCATTCCCCGTCGGGCAACCCGAAGCTGACTGATGCCCCGGCCTGCTGGGTTCCCCGCTCTCTCGGGAATGACGGCGAGCGCGGCCCTCCGGTTCTGCGGGCTACCGCTGGCCCACGCCCAGGTGTTCCTCTACCTTCCCGCTCACGTAGGACTGGTGTAGGTGAATACCCAGAACACCAGTGCCAGAAAGATGAACACCTCCTTGGCGCTGGAGATGTACTGAGTGTTGCCCTGGATGAAGGCCCGGCTGATTTCCAACACGTCCAGCATGCCAATGATGTAGACCAGGGTGGTGTCCTTGTACAGCGAGATGAACTGCCCGACGATAGCAGGAATTACGTTGCGGATGGCCTGCGGCAGGGAGACGAGCATCGTCGTCTGCCAGCCGGGGAGGCCCAGCGCCCGCGCCGCCTCCGCCTGCCCGGGGGACAGCGCCTGCAACCCGCCCCTGATGTTCTCCGCCATATAGGCCGAGCTGAACAGCGTAATGATGATGCCGGCCCGCAGGAGTGAGTTGGTGTTGAAGTCCTCGGGGAAGGCAAGCGGGACCAGCACCTGCGACATGAACAGCAGCGTGATAAGCGGCACGCCCCGGAACACCTCGATGAACACTACGCACAGCAGCTTCACCACCGGCAGATTGCTCCGCCGCCCCAGCGCCAGCGCGACGCCGATGGGCAGGCTCAGTCCAATTCCCACCACCGCCAGCAGCAGGTTCAGCGTCAATCCACCCCAGTGGAGTACCAGCACCGGATGGAGTCCCGGAATGCCAGGCAGGCCCCGCAGCAGTATCACCGACAAGATGAAGGCCACCACGACGTAAATGACGATTCCCCGCACCGACATCCCGATGTAGTGGGCCACGGCCCATCCCAGCAGCAGCGCCGGAATGTTGGCAACCAGCAGCAACCGGACGTCCATACCCATGCGGTCGAAACTGTAGGGCAGGAAGGCAAACAGTGTCAGCACCACCACCACGCCGATGCTCAGGCGCCTGGCGACGGCATTGCCCGCCATACCCCAAGCCAGACCGAACAGCGCCGTCACCAGGAGCAAGGCCACCTGCGGTCTCCAGAAGCAGTTCTGGCCGGGGCAGGAACCCTCAGTGTTGTACTGCCCGATGACCATTTGCCCGCCCAGCACCCCGATAACCGTCCAGTCGGCTCCGGCTATAACCCAGCGCAGGCCGTAGAACAACGCCAGCACGGTGACCGCCAACGATATGATCGTCAGTATGCTGTTGAACCACGAGCTGAACAGGTTTACCCGCATCCAGCCGATTACCCCGACCTCCGTAATCGGCGGGGGAAGGCGCTGTCCGGGGGCACCCGGGTTTGTCTGGCGCGTTGCTGCTGGCGGTTGAGTGGTAGCCATCGTCAGTTCCCTGTGAAGCGGATGTGCCGGTTATACAGGTTTCCGATGAGCGAGTAGGTCAGGCTCATGGCCAGGTAAGCCGCCATTATCAGCAGGAAGATGGACACTGCAGGGGCCGTCTGCGTCATCGTCTTGGCCACGTTGGTGAGGTCGGAGTACCCCGATGGCGCCGGCCAGGCTGCTGTTCTTGGTCAGGTTCAGAAACTGGCTGATCAGCGGCGGAATGATTACTCGCAACGCCTGCGGAAAGGTGACGTAGCGCAGCGTCTCCAAGGGTGTCAGTCCCAGCGCCCGCGACGCCTCCGTCTGCCCGCGCCGGACCGACAATATGCCCGCCCGCACAATCTCGGCGATAAACGAGGCGGTATAGGTCACCAGCCCCACCAGTAGGATCACCAGTCCCGCCGGAGCGGTAAATCCGCCAGCTATGTGCCCGAAGAGACCTTCTTCTCGCTCCGGTGAAGTAATAACGAGAGGCGACTCGCCAGCGACGAGGCTGACCACGATCCATGCCACAGCCCCAATGACAACTGCCGTCACCAGACCACCCGTTATGGGGTAGGACCTCTGGCCCGCATGCACCTCGCGCGCTGTCAGCATGCGGAAGGCGACGTTCCCGGCGGCCAGCGCCCCCGCCGCCAGCAGCGCCCAGACCAGGAGCGGCCCGAAGCCAGTGGGGTTGGGGAAGGGCAGGGATAAGCCGCTGTTGTTGATGAACAGCCCGCCCCCAACGACGTAGCCTTCCCTAATCGGGGGCAGGGACAGGATGATGTAGAACCAGAAGAAAAGCTGCACCAGCAGCGGCACGTTGCGGAAGAATTCTATGTAGACCGTGGCCAGCTTGGACACCATCCAGTTGGTGGACAGCCTCGCCACGCCGATGAAGATTCCCAGCATCGTCGCCAGTATCACGCCCACGATGGACACGACGATTGTGTTGACCGCTGCCGCTCCCAGGGCGTAGGCGAAAGGGTCCGACGATTCGTAGGGAATGAAAGTATGCCCGATGGGTGTCTGGTATTCCCGGTCCAGGAATCCCCAGCCGTGGGGAATCTCCCGGTCCTGCACCGCGTTGGCGATGTTTGCGAAGAACCAGGCAACCAGTACAACTACAACAATGCCCGACACAATCTGCAGGGTCCACTGGAGGACCTTGGTGTGTCGCCAGACCTCAACGCCCTGGTAGGTTAGGATGCTTCTGAGTTGTGCCATACGAGTTCACACACGCTCAAAGGGAAAGTCGAGCCAAATCTAACACACGCGGGCATGTTGTGAAACCGCCCAGGGATGCGGTATCCGCAATGGCTTGATGCCAGTCCCGGGCAGTACCTGGACTGCAAGAAGTGTCCAAGCGCAGTTTTGCAAAGATAATGCGCTCGGACACCCGCCATAAAGTGTGGCAAGTCCAGGTGTAACATCTATGGTAGGCTGGCCGCCCGCTAGCGCAGCGGGGCGGCGTAGATCTGCCCTCCCTTGGGGCAGTCCTGGCATGGGGCGTCGGCCCACAGGGCGTTGCGGCCTCCCTCTCGCGGCAGGCCGATGCCGCCCTCGCCGAGGTTGCGGTCGTAGATCTCGCCGTAGTTGCCGACACTCCGAATCACGTCCTGTGCCACCGTTTGCTCCAGGCCCATGGATTCCTGCGAGTAGGATCCCTCGAGGCCGAATAGTCGATCGACCTTGGTATCCCGGGTTATTGCCGTTGGCACATCGTCCATCCCGATGCCGAAGGCCTCCGCGTAGATCAAGATTGCCATCACGGTCTTGACGACGTCGTACCACTGCTCGTCGCCGTGGGGCACTACGGGTCCCAGCGGCTCCTCGAAATGGTGTCGGGCAGAATGACGTGGTCTCCGGGATTGGAGAAGGTGCTCAGCAGGGACGACAGGGCCGAGCGGTCGGTGGTAAAGACATCGCACTGGCCGCTGCTATAGGCTGACAGGGCTCCATCGGAGTCCTCGAAGGTGACGGCCATCATGTTCAGCCCGGCCTCGTTGGAGAAGTCCTGCAGGTTCAACTCGGTGGTCGTGCCCTGGGTCACGCATACGCTGGCGTCCTGCAGGCCCAGGGCGCTGTTCAGCCCCAGGCTGCGGGGCACCATGAATCCCTGCCCGTCGTAGAACATGGTCTGCGTGAAGTTGCCCCACTGGGTATCCCGGGAGGACGTCCAGGTGGTAACGGTGGAGAGCATGTCTACCTCGCCCGCCTGCAGTATGGGCCCCCGTTCGGCCGGGTCGACGATGCGGAACTCGACCGCGTTCGGGTCTCCCAAAGACGGCGGCGGCGACAGCCCGGCACAGGTCCAGGTCAAACCCGACGTTGTTGCCGCCCTCGTCCAGGTAGCCAAAGCCGGGAGTGTCGTTGCCGGTGGCGCAGACCAGCGTGCCCCGTTCTTTCACCCGCTCCAAACGGGAGGTCCTTCCCTCGGCGTCCGACGTGGATCCGGGAGCGGAAGTGCTGTCGTCAGTGGCGCAGGCCAGCAGCGCTATCAACGATGACAGAACCAACGCAGCTGCAATAAGGTATAGACGGGTCATGGCATTCCCTCCTCGCGGGAAGTTCGCTAGTGGCATACCTCAGTTGTATGCCATGGTACATTCAAACCGCCATCAGAGGGCAACAGAATTTCGCACGGGAATAATGAAAACAGGGGCGGGTCCATGACCCGCCCCTGAGAGCTTCCGGGTTGATAGTCGTTCTGGTTAGACTAGTAGAGCAACAGCATTGAAATGATGGGATGAACGCCCTCGCCCTAACCCTCTCCCCTACGGGAGAGGGCTAATGAGTGAAAGACCCTGGGTGAGTCACGCGAATCTCGCCTACTCCTCATTTCAAAGATGTTCAACTACTAGCGCAGTGGGGCTGCGTAAATCTGGCCGCCCTTGGGGCAGTCAACGCAGGGGGCATTGGCCCACAGGGCGTTGCGCCCACCCTCGCGCGGCAGGTTGATCCCGCCGGGGCCAAGGTTGCGGTCGTAGATATCGCCGTAGTTGCCCACGGCATTGAGCACGTTCTGGGCCACGTCCATATCCAAGCCCAGTGCTTCCTGGCCGAAGGAGCCCGAGAAACCGAGCAGCCGGTCTACCTTGGTATCGTCGGTAGCGGCACTGGGAACGCTGTCCTGGCTTACGCCGTAGGCCTCACCGTATATGAGGATGCCCATTACGGACTTCACGATGTCGAACCACTGGTCGTCACCGTGAGGGACCACCGGGCCCAACGGCTCCTCGGAGATAGTATTTGGCAGGATGGTATGGGCGCTCGGGTTGGACAGAGCAGTCCTCAAAGCAGCCAGCTGGGAGTTGTCGTTGGTGAAAGAGTCGCACTGACCGGAATCGTAGGCTGCCACCACGGCGTCGGTGTCCTCAAAGGTCAGCACGTCGAGGTTCAGGTTGTTCTGGTTGGAGAAGTCTTGCAGGTTCAGCTCCGTGGTAGTGCCCTGGGTCACGCAGACCTTGGCGCCCTGCAATTCGAGGGCGCTGGACACGCCCAAGTCACTCCTGACCATGAAGCCCTGACCATCATAGAACATGGTCTGCACGTAGTTGCCCCACCCCGCGTCGCGGGAGGTAGTCCAGGTGACCGTGCGAACCAGCATGTCAACTTCGCCGGACTGGATCGTCGGCCCGCGCTCAGCGGCGGAGATCAGACGAATCTGGATGGCATTCGGGTCGCCCAGCACTGCGGTGGCCACCGCGCGGCACAGATCGATGTCGAACCCGACGTTGTTACCGGACTCGTCGATGAAACCGTAGCCAGGAACGTCGTTGCGGCTGGCGCAGATCAAGGTGCCGCGGTCCTTGATTGCCTGGAGGCGGTTCTCCTGCATCACCATAGCATCTTCAGGTTCCGCCGGCACGAGGACTGTAACGGGGACCTGCCGCGTTACCTCCACTTCCAGGACTTCGCCCTCACCTACGTTCACGATCTTTTCAACCTCGCGGGTGACTTCGACTTCCTGCGGCACGATAACCGTAACGGGCACCTCTTTCTCGACCACCTCCCCCTCACCGCCACACGCGGCGACCAACAGGAGCAAAATCGCGGAAACTATTGCCAAAGGGAGAAACACTCTTATTCTCAAAACCTTCTTTATCCTCCTTGTACTTAGTATCAGCGTCCTTGATATCAGCCTCGTTTACATCCGAAGACTAGGTGCAGAGTATAATAGTTTTATGGTCGAAAATGCCAGATGACGTAACCCAATGTCGGTGAATCGTCGTCTTCCTGGAATGCAACGGCACCCTGCTGAGCAACCAACCGCAGCCCTCAGGATGCCGTGCATAGGTCCCTATTACCTTGATTTATCGTCCCCGTAGCCTCGGGTCGAGGACGTCCCGCAGGCCGTCGCCAAGGAAGTTGACGGCGAATACCACAGCCGCAATGATGACCCCGGGAAAGACCACGAGCCATGTCTGCGTATGGATGTGCTCGCGGCCGATCTCCAGCATGCTGCCCCAGGTTGCAACACCCTCGGGCACGCCTACGCCGAGGAAGCTGAGCGACGCCTCCACCACGATGGCGAATCCCAGCGTGATGGTCATCAGCACAATGTACGTCGCCGCCACGTTGGGCAGTATATGGTTCCACATCACACGAACCGGATTCGCCCCAATGGCGCGGGACGCCAGAATGTAGTCCAATTCCTTGATTCGCAGTGCCTCCGAGCGGACTACCCGCGTGGCGCCGGGGACCAGGATCACCACAAGCGCGATTATCACATTGTTGATGTCGGCACCTAGGGCCGCCATCAGCCCCAGGGCCAGGATAATCGGAGGGAACCCCATCAGGGCGTCGACAATTCTTTGAACAATCATGTCAAAGACCCCGCCCATGTAGGCACTGGAAATTCCGACCATTGTCCCGATGGTGATCCCGACGAGGACAGTCATAATTCCCACGTACATGGAAATACGGGCACCGTGGATCAGGCGACTGAGCACGTCACGCCCGATGTGGTCGGTCCCCAGAGGAGCGCTTTCGGTGCCCGGAGGTGAGAACTTCTTAGCAATGCCCACGCCTTCGGGGTTGTGAGGAGCTACCCAGGGCGCAAGGACCGCCACGGCGACTGCTGCGAGAATCACCACAGCTCCAATGGCACCCAAGGGCTTACGCTTTGAGAAGCTCCAGATTGCGGCCCAAATACCGGCCAGCCCAGTTGGCCTTTGCCGAACGTCGCCTTGGAGGACCGGTTCCTCGGCCGCCGCGTTAGTGCGAAATACTGCCATGGCTTTATCCCTGCCTACTAGGGTTAAGTCGGGGCACACAGGCGTTCGCCCCAAGTCTGTAGCTACGCCAATCGCGGTGTGTCAGGCGGTTTCGGCACGGGGGCCATCCGCCTTAACGCCTCACCTCATACCTACGCATACCTGATTCGGGGATCCAGCCAGCCGTACAGCAAATCAATGGCGAGGTTGATGGTGACGATGAACGCGGCGATGATTACGATCTCCGCCTGGATCATCGTGTAGTCCCGCTGGAAGATGGACTCAATGAGAATCCGGCCCATCCCCGGCAGCAGGAAGATGGTCTCGATAATGACCGTGCCGCCGAACAAGCGGGCAAAAAATCCAGCCAGAGGTGGTCAGCACGGGCAGCAGGGCGTTCTTAAGACCGTGCCCGTAGACCACCGAGTTCTCGCTCAGACCCTTGGAGCGGGCGGTGCGCATGTAGTCTTCGCGGATGATCTCCATCATCGCGGACCTGGTCACGCGCGCCACGAACCCCATTTCGTAGAAACCCAAGGCCAGCGCGGGGTAGATCATCTGGTGCAGGTTGGTCAGTGGGTCTTCCCAGAGGTTCACGTAATTCAGCGGCGCCAGGCCACCAACCTTCACCAACAACAGTAGCAGGAGGATGGCAATAAGGAAGGTCGGCATGGCAATCCCGGCCATGGTGAACACACGCGACGCATAGTCCAGTGGGCTTTCCGGCCGCAACGCCGAAACGATCCCCAGGGGAACGGCAATGATTACCGAGATCAACATCGAGATGATGGTCAGCTCGACAGTGACCGGAATCCGGTCGGCCAGCTCCTCCATCACCGGTGCCTTGAACCAGTAAGAGTTTCCGAAGTCACCCTGAAGGACGCCACCGATCCAGTCGAAATACTGGCTTACCAGAGGCTTGTTCAGGTCGAGTTCAATACGACAGTCGATGAGCTCTTCCTGGGTGAACGTCGCCTCGCCATCGCTCAATATCGCGAGGCACACATCCCCGGGAATCAGGCGCATCACCACAAAAACTATGATGGTAATGAGGATGATTGTAGGGAAGAAGAGCCCGACTCGTTTAAATATGTACTGTTTCATCTACCCAGTCCCATTCCGGGGCGGAGTGTGGGGGAAGCCTGTCGTTGTGGCAAAAGCAACAACAGGGGCGAATTCTAACAAACCCGCCCCTGTTTCTGTCTACCGTTAGCCTAGCGCTCCAGCCAAATGTCCTCGTGCTTGAAGTGGGTCTGCACGGTCTGAGGAGCATGGAAATTCTTGATCTGTTCGCTGACCACCCACTGCAGGACACCCCAGCCAAGGGTTACCCAGTGGTTGTCGTCCTGGGTAAAGAGGTAGGACTCCATTTCCTTGTTGATTTCCCGGCGCCTGTCCGGGTCGGTTTCCTGCTTCTGCAGTTCGTGCCAGGTATTCACCTGTTCATTTTCCCAGTCGGTGTAGTTGCGGGTGGCGCCCTTCAGGTAAACGCCGCCCATTATGCCGTCCACATCCAGCACCACCTGGCCCTCACCCTGGCAGGCCAACTCCCAGTCGCCTGCCTGGTCCACCGGGCGGGAGGTGGCGAAGAGGTCGTAACCAGCCGCGCTGGGGTAGGTCGAAAGATCGCCCTTGATACCCAGGTTCCTTGCTAGCTGGTCCTTGACCACCGAGCACTGTTCGGGATAGGTCCCGACCTGGCGCACATCGTAGCGGGTACTGAAGCCGCCAGCAAAGCCGGCCTCTTCCATCAGCCTCTTGGCCTCGGCCAAGTCGGCCTGACCCTCAGGGGTGTCCTTGGGCCGCAGGCCGGGCCAGGTCTCGCACTCCTCGAAGCTGTGGGCCAAGCCCATCAGCGGGCATCCCACGCCTGAGGTGTTGTCGAAGACCAGGTCGTTCCACTGCTGGTAGTCGATGGCCAGCGCGATGGCTTTGCGGACGCGGGGGTCGTTGAAGGGCTCCTTCTTGATGTTCATCATCAAGCCCCAGTCAGCCGTGGGCTGCACTGCAAAAGCGCGATACTTACCGTCGGTGTCCCGTTCCAGCTCGAATACCTGGGTGGGAGTTAGATTGGTGAAACCGCCGTTGGACATATCGATCTGCCCGCCGCTGATCTGGGCGATCAGCACGCTGGGGTCCACGATGATGGTGTGGTCGATGCCGTCGAAGTAGGGGCGCCCGTCCTTGAAGTAATCGGGGTTCTTCGACACCTTGTAGAAGCTTCCCCTCTGGTAATCGTCGAGAACGAAGGGCCCGGACCCGGACCGATGCTCGATGACGTTCTCAGCCAGGTTAAGGTCGATGCCCTGGTCCAGCAGGTGCTTGGGCAGCACCTTGACGTAGTCAACCGCCAGGAACTTGATGAAGGCGCCGGAGGCGAACCTCAGGTTGACCTCGACGGTGTCTTCATCGATCAGGTTGACGCCGCCGTACTGGCTTCTAGCGTGTACCCGCGCCAAAGACCGGAACGTCCCATCTTGGAATCGAGATCGCCGTAGCGAAGCAAGGAGTTGTGGACGTCATCGGCTGTCAGGTCCTCGCCATCCTGCCACTTGATGCCGGGCCGCAAGTGGAAGGTAAAGGTCTCGCCTCCGTTGGAAACCTCCCAAGTGTCGCACAGGTCACAGACAATCAGGCTAGTGTCAACCGTATCGTACTGGACGATCTGGTTGTACATCTGGCTGACGGCCTGAATGCTGGACAGCGATGAAGATCCCTTGGGGTCCCAGTCGCGGCTGTCGGCGTAGGCCGACATGTTGACGACACCACCGTACTGGCCTGTCGTGGCCGCCACCGGTGTCGGCCGCGAGACCACTGAGGTCGCGGTGGGAGCCGGTGTGTTGGTGGGCCGGGTGGTGGCGCCGGGGACGGGTGTGTCTGCCGGTGTCGCAGGCTCATCCGTGGCCTCGGGCGCATCGGTAGGCGCCGGCCCAGACGAGCTGCCGTCCTCTGTTGCCGCGGGTGCAGAAGATTCCTCTGTCGCATCCTCAGACGAGCCGCAGGCGACTACCATGGCCAGCGCCACGATCAGCGCAAGCGGCAGCAGCACTTTAAGATTGAGAAATCGCTGAATTTCCATATACCTCCTCCGGGGTTGTCAATTTACGAATTTTGATCGATTGGATCATCCGCGGGGAATCGTGCGCCGCATTTGAACGCAATGCGTAATTTCTTCTACGAATTGTTACCATAATTGAGGCATTTTACATTCGTCATCGCGACAAAATCCTACGAACTCAAACTAAGAAATATTAGCCCAATGGGAGATCGTCGTCAAGCAAGGAGGGCCCAGAAATCTCCATATAGGCACCCTCTCCGGTCATTCGGAGAGGGTGCCTATAGAGGGTGCTGGGGAAGGGTGATTTACGTCCCGGCGGGCTTGCGGTATGGCTCCAGCAGCAGGCGCACATCAGTGTCCACATCGGCGTCCACGTAGAAGGGCTCGAAGTCGGCGGCGCGGGTCCAGATGCGGGCCGCCTGGATCAGTGCTGCCCGCTCCACCGACGACGGCCAGCGCAGGATGCCAACACCTCCTCCGGAGTCGTGCGGCGCAGCCAGGGTGCCGTTCAGGCCGCGGGTCATGCTGAGCTCGTTCCCGTCGATGGCGGTGACGAGGGCCTGCTCGGCTGTCGCGGCGGTACCGGCGTTTCCCAGCGCTCCCAGCACGATGGTCTGTCCCACCCTGAACTGGGCGCCGTCGTTGACGGTGGCTGTCTCTGCGTCCGCCGCGAGCTGGGCGCCGAGAGTGGCCCCCGAGGATTCGGCAAACCACCGGTAGCCCCAAAGACCCTGTACCCGGATATTGGCCCGGCCCGCGGTGAAGCCCTCGCTCCGTCCGCTGAGCGGGGCACCCTTCGACAAGCTCAGGATTGCGCCGTAGGGATGGCCCCAGGGCTGGCGGGGCGCCGCGTTGTAGGGGAGGAGGCGATAGTCATCCGCGTCCCAGACGTTGGCGAAGGAACGGCCCTCGCTGTCGGCCTGCGCGAGCTCCGCCACCTGGACCAGGTCGGGGACGAGGAGGCGGTCGCCGCCGGGCCCGTCGAACAGCAGCGACTCCCGGCGGGGGTAGAAGTGGCGGTTGCAATATTGGTCCACCCAGTCCGACACGGCCAGCAGCAGCTCGAACAGCTCGTCGTCATCGTCGGTACCGGCGGCTGGGTCCTTGAGGACGCTGTCGTCCTTCAGTTTTGTGAGGTCGCCGTAGAGGGAACGATATGCTTCGCGGCCCATGAACGTCCTTTATTTCTTCAAATATTCGGCAATTTCCGGTAATTCGCGCCAATCAATCATTAATCGGAGAATGGCTGGATCGGAGGTGAGGTGCGTCAGCTCTCCTCGGTGTACTCGACTATCACCCTGTGGTCGCCGGAGGGAGGGCGGCCTCTCCACCTGAGACTCAGCGGCTCCCCTCTCAGACCACGGGGCCCCTGGTCGCGCTGGAAGGTGCGAGTGGAGGTCGTGCCGGTGTCCGGCACCGCCAGGATGTCGACAGCGCGGGAGGGGTCGGTGGCGAGGTTGCCCGCCATGCCGAAGTACAGCTCGCACAGGCGGCGGCCGGCGGATGCGGGCTGCACGACTTTGACGCGATGCAGCCGTATCCGATAACCCTTGGCGGGTTCAAGCACCGTCAATCGTCCCGGCGACCGGGAACGGTCACCTCGGCGGTGTTGAGGACGAAAGGCCGGCGCCGCAGGGGCGCCCGGTGGGATGGACGAGTGGTCATTCGATCTACCCCCTCAGCTCTCTTCGGTGTATTCGATGATGATTTTGTGGGAGGTGCCCGGAGCGCTGTCGGCCCAGCGGCCGCTGAGGGGCTCATCGCGCAAGCCGCGCGGCCCCTCGTCGCGGGGGAAGACGCGGGTGGAGTCCTCGCCCAGCTCCGGGATGTCCAAAGTGTCCACGGCCTTGCCCGGCACGGAGGCGATGTTCTGGCCGGTCCCGAAATAGATCTCATAGAGACGCCGCCCGTCGGCCTCCTCCTGGATGGCCCGCACCCTGATGATGCGCAGCCGCTTTCCCTTGCTGGGCCTGACCAGCGGTTCACGGAAGGCGGCGGTGTTGGAATCGTGGGCGCGGAGCCTGGGCTCGTAGACCCTGGGCCTGGGCTGGACGCGGCGGTTGCGACGGGTCGTCATCGCAGCATCCGGCCGAAGCCAGCCCCGCCCAGGCCCGCAATTGCCGCCAGCGAGGCGGTGAGCGCCGTCCCGTTGATGCCCTGCGAGAGGGCGTAGGTCTCAACGCCCGAAACCGCGACGATGCCCAGCCCGGCAACCACGGCCCATGAGCGTGAAAACCGCCCCTCCCGTCCGTCCTTGGGATGTATCACGATGTCTCTCCTTTATTAACCTCCCGGTATTGACCATCCGGGATTAACAATCCAGTGTGCAAATGCAGGCGTGCAGTATTCCAGGGGCAGGGGCGCACAGCTGCGCGCCCCTGCGAGGGTTACCGAACCTAGACACCGGTGATGTTGTACTGCAGGCCCGTGTGCGTGGCCGACGACCGGCTGCCGCTGCGTTCTTGCAGGGCGATTCGGAAGCTGACGACCATGATGTTCTGGCGCTTCTGGGCGTCCCGGACCGTTTCGATGGTCAGCTCGCGCTTGAAGCCGACCCGCCACTGCGATCGGTTGACGATCAGCAGCGGCCCTTGGTGTTGGCGTTGCCGCCGCTGGTCACCTTGCCGTCGGCGTCGGCTAGGCGCATCTGCTCCGACACGATGACCGGGATGCCCTCGACCGCGCCGAGTTGGCCAGTCAGCACGGTGGCCTGTGGCCCGAACTTGTCCAGCGTCCGGAAGCTGTCGATGCTCAGTGCCTTGATGAAGGTATTGACGTCGGTGATGTAGGCCAGCTCCGACGGTCGCACACCGTACTTGCCCAGCTTGCCGCGGATCTCGTTGAACATGTCGGCGCTGACCGCCGCGTTGTGGTTGTTGGCCATGCCGTCGTTGTCCACCAGGGGCAGGTGCAGCAGGCCATCGAAGCCGACCAGGAAGTGCCCCGTGCCGGCGGTGGTGCCGCAATGGTCGCACCATCGGCGTTGATGTTGTTCTGCGCCGTGGTATCGCCGTTGAGGATCACGTCGTCGATCACCTCGTGGGCGTTGCGCAGCAGGCTGCGGCGCAGCTCGTCCATCATGGCGATCACCGCGTCCTCGTCCAGGTCGTAGGACCACGGCACCTCGGCCACCAGCTCGTGGGCCGTCAGCGTCTGCCGGGCCGTGGCCGGGGCACTGCCGGTGACTGCGGTGTTCTCCGTTCCGGGATACCAGTTGACGTCGCCCAGCTGCAGGGGATCTGAAAAGGGTTGACGGCATCTGAACCGTGTTGAACAGGGGCGCGACGGCCGTTTCCAGGTGACGTCGTCCCACAGGGCGCGGGCTTCCTGGGTATCCACCAGCTCGTCGCCCGACCCGGCGGTGGTGGAGTCCATGGCGGCCTTGAGGTTGGACTGCCAGTCCTCCAGCATGCGGGGGTTGGCCCCCGACGGCTCGCGCAGCTGTGCCGACAGCAGGCTGCGGGCGCAGGCCAGGTCCAGGTGGTCCAGGCCGGCATACTTGCCGAAGGGCACCCGCGACCGGTCGGCTCCGAACTGGTTCAGCAGGGCCAGCTTCTCGCCCTGGCGGCGGGCGTCCTGCAGCCTGGCGAGCTGCGATCCCAACCGCTCCACCTCCTCGCGGAGCGGTGGAATCTCGGAGTTCATCCGCGACTCGTAGAACTCGCGGATGCCGCCCAGTTCCCGCTTGACCAGCTCCAGGCTGGCCGTGGAAAAAGCACCGTTGTCAGTAGTCATACATCCTCTCTTGAATCTTAAATTCCTTAATTCCACTCATTTCCGCTCATTCCGCTCATTTCCGCTCACCTCACCTCCTCGCGGATTCCAGCTCCGCCAGCAATGCACCCAAGGCGACCTCGCTCCAGGTGATTGCCGCACCGGGAGAATCGGAGGCGGCAGGGTTGTTCAGCGGGTCTCCCGCTGCAGTGGCATCCCGCCGCAGGGCGCTGCGGTTGGCAGGGACGGGCACGGCGCTGACCTCAAGCAGCTCCTGCTCCAGGTACCGCAGACCCAGCAGCGCGCCGGTGCGGGCGTCGCGCCTCTCCTCCCATCGGATGGGACGGAACCCGACCGACACTGCCCATTGGAACCCGCCGGCGTAGAGGGCTGCGACGTCCTGGGCGAATGGGCTGGGAGCGAACTCCATGCTCGCCAGGAGCCGGTGGGGCTCGGTCCACACCTCGACGGCGCGCCCTATGGCCGGGTGGCGGTAGTCATGGGCCCAGAGCAGCACCGGGTTCCGCAGGTACGCCTCGCGCCACCGTCGGCCCGACACCACGTCGCGTGCCGGCCACCACTCCCGTCGGCGTCAGTCGCACAGCACGACGTCACCTGGCCCGTCGGCTTTGCGCCCAGCGGCTCCGGCCCCCGCACCTGCTGCGTGCCACTTCAGCACCGGGGCCACGGAGCTTCCCTGGTTTTCGGGGTCCGGGCTTTCGGGGTCCGGGCTTTCGGGGTCCGGGCTTTCCGGGTCCGGGCTTCGGGGTCCGGGCTTTCGGGGTCCGGGCTTTCGGGGTCCGGGCTTTCGGGGTCATTGCTGCATTCCTTCCTCCAATCCCGCCGGAGCGTCACAAACAAAAAGGGACGCACCTGGCGGGGTGCGTCCCTCACAATCGTTCTTCGCCCTGCCGCTCGACCCCAACCTTCGGGGGCGTCAGCAGAGCTTTCGTATCACTGTGAGATCGAGTCTAGGGAGGCGTCATGAGGCTTGTCAATGGGCTACTGTCAGCGGCGCAGACCCTTCTTAGATGTTCGCAGGGGACAATTCTGTATGATTGAGATGCAGACACTCCCACTCAACAGAATGGTCAAGCATCATGGATGTACTCTACAAATACGTCACCGCACAGAGAGCCCTCACCTGCATTCCTGAAGTAGGCGACGGGACTCTTCGGGCCACTCAACCGGCGGCGCTCAACGATCCGTTCGAGTGCGCCGTGTTGCCTTTGTACATATTTCGGGAGGAAGCCGAAGAGGATCGCGAATTAGCGAAGACTCTAACTAACATCAACGAAAGCAAACCGGTGACGGAGGCAGACGTAAATCGCGCCAGGATCGAGTACGGCAGCCTTTTTACGCGTCAGTTGTTCGCGGCGCAAGTTTCAACAAGATTCGGCATAGTCTCATTTACCACGGATCCTCGCCATCCGCTAATGTGGGCTCATTACACAACCGATGGGTCCGGTTTCGTCATAGGCTACGATTTTGCGGAACTGAACCAGCTTACAGGCCCAAAGGGATCCCTGAGGAGCGTAACTTATGGCAATAAACCAGCAGAGATCACGGGTCCCGTCGTCTTAGTTTCCCCAGAGTCCAATCTGCCAATTCTTCTTTCCATGAAAAGCGATCACTGGTCATATGAGGCAGAATGGCGGTTGATTGTAGAACTCAACACGACAATCGACACCGGACAAGGGGACCAGCGTGGACAACCAATTAACCTGGTTCAAGTACCGAACGAGGCAGTTGTAAGCGTCTACTACACTGAGAGGACACCCCGAGAATCGGTCAAGTTGATCCGAGACCGCTTGACCGACAAGAACAATCGGTACAGGGCAGGGGAACCACGCAAATTAGTCTTGTCCTCTGAGTCCTTCGGCTACGAAGAAGCTCTGCCGATTGCTGATACTTAGAAACCTGTCATGAGGCTTGTCAATGGGCTACTGTCAGCCGGGGTCCCATCAAACGATCCCGAAGTTGACTGGCATATTGGCGCACGATATGTTAGCCTTTCCCAGTTAGGTCATTCACTGAACACATACAGGGCGCAGACTAAGGTGCCCGCTAGAAAGGAGCGCATCGAGGATTATGGAAGTAACGACGCTCGCCATTGAAAAGCTCAAGGAAGTTATGGAAGAACAGGGTGAGCAGGAAGGGGCCCTGCGCGTCATCGCCATTCCGGCGGAGACCGGCGGCCTTCAGTACATGCTGACCATGGAGAGCGAGTCCCAGTCGGACGACACCGAACTGAACATGGAAGGCGTCAAGTTCCTGATGGACTCGGACAGAGCCCCGTTCCTGGAAGAAGCCACCATTGACTACGTCGAGAACTTCGGCGGGCAGGTGGGCTTCGTCATCAACAACCCGATGTTCGCCCAGGCTTGCGGCGGTTGCGGCGCGGGCTGCGGCTGCGGAGCCGGTGGTGGTGGCGGCTGTGGCTGTGGCGGCGGGGGTTGCGGCGGCCACTAGGCCGACACCCCACCCCGGCGTAACAACCGAAAAAAACCCAGACCTCTGACGGACGACTGGATACGAATGCACCAGTCCCCCTCGGGGGTCTTTCCATTTGCCAGAAATTTCGGGATTTGACCTGCGTCAGCTTCGGTATAAACCACCCTGCCTGTGCTACCATCGGGCAGTGCCTACACATCCTGCACGCTCCTCCGGAGGTAGCACCATTGGACAGGTTCCTGCGCCGCCGATGGACGAGATTCACCCGTCCGTTTGGCCGCAACAGGCTCTGGCATCCCGGGGACTGGCGCTGGAACGAGCGAGTTCTGGTAGCCGGAGAGGGGATCGCGTTCATTTCTGCAACGTTGGCGCTGGCCGCAGAATTGCTTCACTGGCATGGGCAAGGCACTAACTGGTTCCTGCTCGCTACCCCCATCGTGGGTTCTGGGTCGCTCCTGTGGTACGCCTGGGACACCGTTACCGTTGGCGACCGCCCGTTGACGACTACCAGCATCCAGAACATACGTCAGGTGGTGCAGGGGATGATGCTGGAAGATGCCGGCGCCATCGTCGACTGGCAGCACCCCGACGACCAGGGCTCGATCCCGCTGCGCATCGAGTAGCCATGGCCTCGCATGCGCTCAGCCTATCTCTTGGGTAAGTAACAGAAGGGACCAAACAAAAAACCGCCGTAGCGGCTTGCTACCGGCGGTCATCTCTCGGAGCCCCAATATTTGGTCGGGGCGGTCAGATTTGAACTGACGACCCCCTACACCCCATGCAGGTGCCCTACCTGGCTGGGCCACGCCCCGACGTGATTCGATTATAGCATGTTGGCGACTGTGGGGGGCAAGCAGGAGAACAGCTCCATCGAAAGAGCAGGCGTGTTTGAACAACTCGATGACACTTGCCGCTTGCCAAGCCTCTTGACCTCCCGATATTATATGATCATGTGTTCGATATTTTGTCTTCGACTCCGGTGCGGGCCACGCTGCATCCGGCCTAGTGCCGTCCGACAGCAGCAGAGACATGGGCTGTCCAAACGGCACGAAAAGCAGGAGTGGGACAAAATGGATACCGGAAACAAAAAATTTCTGTTCGTTGTGACCGCAGGGGACTTTCCGCTACAAATAGCGTGCATATCGGTGGGGACAAAATGGGACAGCATGTGGACATTTTGGGACACCGTTGGGAAGTATTCGTCCCAGGTGCAGAGCACGAGACGCTGCTCAAGTAGTCCCTCTCGGGTCGAGCTCCTCTCGCTATGGCCCCATCTACTGGTCTGACTCTCGCCAGCTGGACATAGCTCGGTTCACCTGCAGCCACGATCCCTGCAGTCCAATGAGATAGCCCATGACATTTCCGCTGACACCGTCACCGCCACCATGCCATCTTGCCGCCGATCGTCGTTAAGATTCATCGATGATGCAGTTTTGAAGTTAGACTGAAGAAGCAAGAGCAAAGACGCCCAGATGCTAGACGGCGAAACGACGCAAAACATCATCCGCGAATACCGCATCAACGACAAGGACACCGGCTCCGCCGAGATCCAGGTCGCGGTACTCACGAGACTATCAAGCAGCTCACGACCACCTGCGCATGCACGCAAGGACGTCATCTCCGACGCGGTCTGCAGGGTATGGTCTCCAGACGCCGGCGGTTGCTGAACTACCTGAGCAACGAGGACGTCAACCGCTACCAGACACTCATAGCCAGGCTTGGCTGCGCCGGTAAAATGTCGCCGACAACCCCGACGTGTCGGGGTTGTTTTCGTCTAGCCACGTCCCATCCCTGCTTGTATCCCTAACTCACTTTAGCGTGAGGATGTGCTATTGTTATGGCACTCAACTCGCATCCCCTACCGTCGTCCACCGTGAATCGGCGGCGAAACCCTGGTCCTCGAAACCGGGCGCCTCGCCTTCCAGGCCACGGGGCCGTAAACGTCGATACGGCGAGTCATCGTACTGGCAACCGCCGTGCATGTCGGACCGCCCCGGGCGAGGACATCGACTTCTCCCTGACCGTGGATACGAAAGGAAGGATTACGCCGCGGGCGCATCCCCGGCAGCTTCTTCCGGACGGGAGGGCGACGGGACAGGAGGCATCCTGGCTCGCGCTCACCGACCGCTCCATTCGCGCCCGCTGTTCCCCAAGAGACTGCACAACGACATACAGCTCACTCTGACAGTTGCTGTCTCCGACCAGGAGAACCCGCCGGAATCTGGCATGATCGGCGCGTCGGCGGCTCTGGCCATCTCCAGATACCCTGACGGGCCCGTCAGCGCGCTGCCGCATCGCCTACGCAACGGGAGTACAGTATCAACCCACCTAGCAGAGAGAGCGATGAGACCCTGAGCATGGTCATCGGCGGCACCCGCGACGCCATCATCATGGTGAAGCAGGCGCCAACGAGGTCTCGGAAGAGGTCATCCTCGAGGCCCTCCGCCGCGCCCAGGAAGCCAACGCCGAGATCATCTCCCTGATCGATGAACTGGTAGCCAAGGTCGGCCAGCCCAAGCTGGAGGTCAAGGCCGACAAGGACGCTGCCGAGAAGCTGGACAGCAGCATCCGCGGCGTCGTCGGCACCCGGCTGGCGGACGCGTGAGCGAGAACCCGGACAAGGTGGCGCTGGAGGCCCAGGAGAACGCCCTGCGCGACGAGGTATCGCAGAAAGCTGGCCGAGGAATTCGGGGACAAGGGGCTCTCCGAGGGCTTCAAGAGCGTGATGCGCGACGAGGTGCGCCGCCGCATCTGGAGCAGCACACCGCCCCGACGCGCTGGAGAGATCCGCCATTTCTGACGAGGTGGGCATCATGCCACGCACCACGGCTCCGGTCTGTTCACCGCGGCATGACCCAGGTGCTCTCCACGTCACGTCGGGTCGCTGTCGATGAGCAGAACCTGGACACCGTCGGGCCCGACAACACCAGGCGGTTCATGCACCACTACAACTTCCGTCCTTCTCTCACCGCGAGGCCCGGCGCGTCGGAGTCTCCGACGCCGTGCGAGATCGGCCACGGCGCGCTCGCGAGCGTCGCATTCTGCCCACACACTGCGCAGGACGAGTGTCCCCTACGCCATCGCCGGTGGTGTCGAGGTGCTTCGTTCCAACGGCAGCACGTCCAGGGGCTCAGCGTCTGCGGCGCCTCCTGGCGCATGGCCGCTGGCATCGGTCATGAGCCGCCAGTGGCCGGCATCGCATGGCATGTGTGAACCGGCCGACAGACGGGCAGTACGCCATCTCGAGCGACATCAGGGCATCGAGGCAGGACTTCCTGGGCGATCGATATGGACTCAAGGATGGCGGCCACCGCCGCGGGCGTCAACGCCCTGCAGATGGACAATCAAGTGACGGCCTGACCAGGGAAGGATCCTGGCTGGAGGCCCTGGTGGATGGAGCAGGCTCGCTGGGCGCCTGCACATCATGAGCCACAGATGCGAGGTCATCACGTCACCGCAGACCGGCAGATAGATGAGCCCCACGCCCCCAAGATGATCCGCTTCAGATCAAACCGACAAGATCGGCGCGCTGATCGGCCCCAGGCGGGCGGGTCGATCGTGCATACCAGGAGACCGGTACCACATCAGCGACGTCAGGACGAGCGGCACGGTCACCATCGGCGGCGTCGACCGACGGGCAAGCTGGAGAAATGCCCAGTCAAGGTCGACCAGCATGAACGCGAGCCGAGCTGGCCATCGGCGACATCCCTTCACCGGCAAGGTGGTGCGTCTGACCAACTTCGGCGCCTTCATTGGATCTGGGTGCCGGGCCGCGACGGTCTAATCCGCAACGGTGACCTTGGCGCCTGGAAGAAGACCCTGGTCGAAGGCCAGGAAATCAGCGTGATTTGTCCATTGAAATCTATTAGCAGGGCCGTGTAACCTCTACGTCGCGCCCTGTTCGCGACTACAGCCCGCCAGCAACGCTCCTTGAGGTGCGCCCTCCCCGGCGGCTTTGGCGGCGTACGCGGCGGCGGACCGGGGGTTTACGTAACGGCGGATGTCGGCTGCGGTGGACGGGGTCGGCCCGGTGGGAGCGTCGGCGGCGGCTGCGTAAACCTCACGGCGGGCGGCCGTCCTCCCATGGGGGCGGCGGACGCGGCCCAGCCCCGGGTGCCGGAGGGGATCGCCGAATTCGAGGCGGTGGCCGGGCCCACGGCGCCCCTTCAAGAATAGGCCCCAAACTCAACAATGATGCCAATGGGCGAGAGAGCTTGTTTTCTCTGCGTCTTGCTTTTAATCAGGGCAAGTTTCTGAATGTGGAGTCAAGCGACTACTCACGTAGGGAGGAAGAGATGGCTGCGATTATCGAGTGGTGATCCATTGGCGAAACAGGCAAATGGGCGTCGAAACCGCGGCCGCCGTAGCCGCGCGGAAATGATATGGAGCTGGTCGGGTCCTGTGTGGCAGCCACCGATCGAGGCGGCGTGCGTCCACGCCCTCCGGCGAGTCCCGCTGTCAACCGACGGGTAACAGATCCGGACGACACCCGCCCGACGCATGGTGGACTCACCACTCCGGCCGTCTGCATGAGGCGTCTAACATGCGCTGCCCGCAAGGTCAACCTGGTGCTGGTTCCGCGGCATTAACGCGGACACACGCGCAGTTGGACGGCCTCGCCAACGACAAAACGGAGTGGGGTATCATTGTGCGCCCAATTTCGCTATGGGCACATCGTGCTGAAAAAAAGCTGGCGGAAAAGGCCGCCCGCCCTTCTTCGACTACGTCGACATCGTGGAATACCACCACCGAGATCGAAGATCGACGCACCTCAGGCTTCTCACTGGCCCTGGCCAACAGCCTGGCCGAGCAGAAGAGAAGCAGTTCTACCGCAACTGTGACGGAGGAGAAAGAGAACCTGCCCGAGACGAGTGGGCGGCACGTCAACGGGCA